AACTGAGTTTACAATGCGTGGGCGCATTAAGAAGAACTACAGTGTGTTCATTGCAAAACAGTCTATATTTGGAAATAAATGTGGAGACGAATCAGCTGTGAGGAAGACGATGCAAAATTCTTTGTTTTGCAATATTTTTGCTGGCTTTTGAAGGCCTTTTCGTACTAAGAACATTTTTATATATCTTCATTGCAGTTAGTACTACTAGAAATTAACATTGATAGTAACTTAAGATATCCCTATTGGATGTGGTGGTGCAACGCTCGATACACGCAAGGCCCTTCTTTGAGCCCACACGGGTCAACCAGAAAACCCAGCTATTCGAGCTCTTAAAACTGGCAACGGCCTTAATCAGTACCTGCTTGGGCACTGCAATCTACAAAGGTTGACGACTACCTATCCTGAAAGTGTAGAAATGCCTTATCACGGCTATTCTAGGATACGATTTCTGGAAATGTAGTGCACCATCCAGACGGTCCAGATGCTTTCGTGTCTAAATAGCGTGCGTCAGGAGACAGAACCATTTAAATCTTGTTTCATGTCTTCAAAGCAGGTTACGGCAAAGTAAATTTTGCCGAAATTATCGAAAAAGAAGCAATAGATGAGGATGGTGAAGTGGCCTGAAAAAATCATAAAAACGGTGGATTGGTCAAAATCTGCCATGTACAACCTTTTTCGACATTATTGGAGTATACTAGCTACTGCTTGTCTAAACAACTCTAACAAATAAATTACTTCCACGTCCAATAGGCGTTTCTAAGAGTTTTAGCCAGGACTTTGCCCACTTATTACGACAAAGTAGTTCAAAGCTAGAAGAACAAAACTAGTAAGAAGAAATTTTAACAGTTACTCAAAGAAAAAGAAGGTTTCAAAACAAAGCCATCTATCAGTGGAGTTTTAACCATTCTAAAACAATTTCATTTAAATAATTTTGCTGTTTAATACAGTATTTTCATACAAGAGAGGCGGGTAGCAAAATGTTAGTGATGCCGATCATCAAAAGCTGGGTGCTCGTTCGATTCCGCTCCAGGCCCGCCAATCCTCTCACCTCTCCTAGGTCCGAAAATTGGTACCGGACTCGTCCAGGAAGGAATCAAACTTTGCAACCCAAATGAGAGCGCTCCAACCAGAAAATTTCAGGACTCTAGGCAAAATGTACTCGACCAACATTTAAGATGTCACACGGAAGAGTAACAAAACCTAAGTTGATGATGGATACGAGGAACAGAATCGCATATGAAGAGTGCTGGCATCCACACAGTGGACGCGAAGACAGTTCGTATAAAATAAAATACTAAGATTTTCCACGACCATATTTCTATCAACCTCGGCTCTGGTCAAATATTTGGTCAACTCGTCACTGATCGAAAGAATTTCGCAGAAGTGAAATAAAGATTGGAAAATGGAGGAATGTTACCGATGAAAACTAACTCTCAGTTTGAGTAAAGATGTTACTTGCAGTTGCTGGAGTTTATCCTATGATGATGCCACGCTGCATCATCATCGGGAACACGGTGACTTCTTTATGCAATGCAACGGCTAATGCAATGTGTCAGCTTGACAATGACATGATGATCGCGCAAATTCCTCCCATGCAATTGTCAATTTCTGGAAGCCTCACAGTTTGTATTAATTAACTTTCCACACAAATTTATTTTAAGCAAGAAGAAAGTGTTTAGACCACAAACATCATTATGGTGGACTGGCCGGGAGAGATGTGGCAAGGAGTGGTGAGCAGAGCAGTTCGAATGCTGCCATTGGGTCCATTTGGAAGAAACTTCTCGGAATTTGCGACCATCACCCAAAATGGGAGTTAACCGCGAAGAATTTGGAATAAGCTAGTGTAACAAAGTGTAGTAAAACTTTGGCCCAAAACTGTATTCAGTGGCTGGACTTTCTGTTAACCTCAGCATTGTTCAATAATCCAGTTTTTCACACGCAATTAATTAGGCGATTCTACGCTTCAAACAAGCCAAGACCACCGAGGTTTTAAATGCTGAATAACCTGCATCACCTATCCTCCTGTAGGTCGTCGAGTGGCTCCAACAGGTACCACTAAATCTTCCATTTCTCCCGGTGGCGCGTAAGAGTAGCCCAGAGTTGAGGTTTAGAGCCCCCCTATAATTTGATAGTACCTGCAAACGCTCATATATGCGCAAAATGTGCCTTGTCAGTTAATTGCCAAAAAACCATCAATTATTCTATCTACTTCTTTAATTCTTGACTCCAAAAAACTAGGCACTAAAGTGAGAACACCAGGAATTTGGGATATCTCCTCTTTTTGGCAAAAATTCACCGAATAATTGCAGTACTGAAATGAAGGCGGAAGGAAAATATTGTGATGAAACAGCTCGTCTCTCACGAATTCAATTTAAACGACACGGAACTGCTTATGCAGCTTTGTGCGGCATTTATGAAACTGGTGAAAGGGCCGATGATGAAACACCACTGACGATGCCTTCGATTTATCACTCATGAGCAAGACAAAAACAATGTTTTACGCTCGAAATCGGATAATTCTTGTTGATATAGCAAGCATAAGCGTTTTTCTGCGTTTTCGTCATGGCGTCCTTTCATAGGAAGTATTTAAACACCTCTAAAGACTAGCTGTAACAGGAACATTCTCAAATCGAGTGCCTTTTTCTGTTGGGGCGTGGTATAGTTTAAATTGTATCATGGTGGTCATATGCCTCCATTTGTATGAGGGAAGGGAATCACTACCTGCCGAATTCGCTGAGTGCCCACCCCTTAACTCATCATTTTCTAGAGTGCTGTACACGAGCAGCTGCTATAGTCGCCTTTTTCTGAAACTTTATTTGTGATTGATGCCTGCATCTGGCGAAAAACAGAATTCGAAAGATGAAAAAAGTTTCGAGATCAAACCATAAGGGGAATAAGACGATTCCAAAAACAACTTGGTGCAGCAGTCTACACAAAGTAATGGCTATGAACAATCTCCACTCAGTGATCTTCGGCGAAACAGTTTCAAGCAGTGCTGGAAAGTCTGCTATTTTTCCATCTGCTGAGATACCCTTTTGCAGTTAGTCACCAAAACTGATGCTAAAGCACTGCAATAAGGCACTATGAAATGCATATGTGAGAAATTGGTTACAGAAAAGGAGGAAACGCGTTTCAGAATCGGGAGTGTTGGAAGGTTCTCGTACGAGGTTACGTCATGTCCGAAGTCTTGGTGAAGGCAGCGGCTCCACTTTCAAACTTTAATGGATTTAGGAGGTTTTATATCTGCTACGAACAAATGTAAATTTTTTCACTACTTTATGTGTAGCATTGTTCAGTGACGTTTTCTGGTTATCGTGTTCGCAGTAGAAGGCTTAGGTAGTGTTGCTTCAGTTGCCTTAGAAACGGCACTAATCGATGAAACTTCTACTGAGTACGTCAACGAACAGGAAAATTGTTAAAGCTCCAATTGGAATGCTTCCTCTACCGACATAAATAAGTAATATAATCTGCGCCGTTTGTGCTTTATTGGGAAAGACTAAATGCAGCAATTCTCGCCAATCTGTAAAATTCGCAGACTTTCCACGCTATAGCATTGGAAAAGCCGGAGGCGTGCTGTGGGGAAGCGACGTTTTTTTCAGGAAATCAACTAAAGCAACACGAAACTGCTTGTTCATCTTTATTTGGCGTTCACAAAACACTCAGCAGCGCCGGTAATACTAAAGCGCTGAAGGTGCCTTCCATTTGTCATTCAAGAGGAAAACAGAACGGAATTCGGTACTTTCTGAATCGAGGAGTTCTCGTTGAAGTAACGTTTTCGATCATTACAGTGCGCGATTCAGACAGCGGAAGGAGCGTCTTGCAAAACAATTTTCAATTCGCATTAGATAGTGCCGTTACTAAACAGCTCTTCAAAATCCGATGCTCCAAGCGTCGTATGCTACACAGCAACTTTGTCAGCTGAAGAACGAGATCTACTGTCATCATTCAGCGAAAATGCTGTAATCGTATTCATTGCAGCTCCGAGTAGTTTTTTTTTTTAATAAAAACCGTATAATGATTATTTCGGAGCGCTGTTTTATGTAAAGAAATTGGAATCACTTCAAAAACACGTGGTACTTAACGGGTTGAATTGGCCACTCATTGTAGGAAGGCAACATGTCGACTTTTCCTGGTGATCCTTTCCCAAACAACTGCAGAAATGAGTGAAATCAGCGAAGTGTTTGTAAACGTTACACGAATGTGATGAGACTTCAGTATGCGAAAAACACAATACCAAACTTTGTTTTGTCTGCACATCACGGAGGAACTGCGAGAAATTGGCGGCGCTTCATAAACAATCTGATTTCTTAGGAACTTGGAACGTTTAAAAAGGCCGCCAAAGGACGTCTCAGCTCAGTGCTACCTCTGCCTTCAGAAACGCCCAATTTGTTTCTCTTCTATATGCGCTGGCAATTCCAGCTAAACGTAGGATTCCTCTTCTTCGGTACAAAACCTAATGCCTTAACGTGCTGTTTTTTCTATGGTCAATTCTAGATTGGTTTCCTACATTTTCAACGTCATTTTGTTTCCAAATAAAGAATTAATTAAAAACCTTGCGTTTGCTCATCAAAGGAAAAGAGAATTATTTGTTCTCATTTGTACTCTACAGTGTTCGTTACATTTTTTAGCGACCGAAAACGATTTACCTTCGAAACATGACGACCCTTCTGGCTCTTCTAATTCCGCTGTTAGCGACTGCCTCGACAGTGATGGGGTGTGGGACGATGCCACCAGGTCAAGGTAATAAATAGAAAATCATCATGGCAGTGCAATCATTTGTATTTTTAAACAAAAAGTCCTCAACCGCAAGCGCAGTGAACGTATCGAACACTACATTGGTATCCAGCACCTGTGTTAACACAAGCCTTTTGACGAGAAGATTTTTAATTTTAATTGGTACAAGTTGGGATAATTTTTAACGAATAGTTACAAAACTACAGAATTTTCTTGCAGAAAAAACTAGGACCTTCAGTATTACCGGTTTTGCTTTGCCAGTGGCCATGGTCTATTCCACTGCAGCCAATGTCCCTGCACAGGTTGCTGGCATTGCAAACAGCGAGGCGGGAGCTCAGGCATTTGTATCACGTCTCTTAATGCAAGCAGTGAGTTCACAACTCTTCGATTTGAATTCTTTCCCCTTTCCGGTTTCTGGATGAGTGTAGAAAACAAATTTAAATGCGTCGTTTTCTTGTTCAGCAAACGCGAAGTTTTTAAACAGCATACATTTACTTCCATAGAAAAACACAATACAATGCAACACCGGCTGACGTTTCGGCAGTATCGCCTTCTTCAGAGCCGCTTTTACGTGACTTCCAACGAGAAAGTTTAGAACACTAGGGATTATAGTCGCATATGGTTAACGACTTAGTCGTGACGACTGTTTAAAACCCTCGCGACTGCTGAACAAGAAAACGACGCATTTATATTCCAATGCCGAGGTTAATAGAAAGTCGATCCTGGAAACCACAAATTGAAATTTTTAGAAACCGCTGGCGTTTTAGTTCCAGCAGACTTTGTCAACATAGCTCAAAATAATTTGATTAAAAACGCTTCTATATAAAATTTACTGTCTAATGAAGAAGCTTGTTCTTAAGGTTATTGATGTTCTCGAAGAGCAAGGTCGCAGCGCTGGCCTCTCTGATGCAATAATCTCAACCATTTTGGGTCAGCTCACTGTTCAAGTCAGGTATACTCCACTGCGATGCATGACAGTAGCTGTTAATCAACCAGCAAATATGGATAGTAAGTTTTTGACTTTTAAAAACACTTCGGGGAGGATGCACGGATAACGTACACGGGTGTTAAAAAGAGCTACATTGCGTTCGTTTTAGAAGCCATCTCTAATTAGAACTAAACGTGGAGATGAACTAGCTGTGAGGAAGATGGTTCAAAATCCTTCGCCTTTACCGCATTTTCCAATTCTTTCAAAGGGTAGTGCGCACTTAGAACATCTTGATAATCATTACTGCTGTTGGTGTTTTAGAAATTAATACGAATAGTTATTTAGAGCATCACTATTCGCTGCGGTTGTGCATCGCTCAATTCGCGTAAGGATCCAGTTCCACCCGGCTCGGTCCCACCATGATCGCCTCTATTTGAGCTCTTGTAATTTGCACATGATTTGTCAATTATGTGCCTGCTCACTGCAATCCACAAAAGTTGGCGACTACCTGTCCTGATGTTATAGAAATGCCCTATCACGACATTCCCAGGATTTCTGGAAGAACGTACTCCGGCAATATGGAACGACATACAGAAAGAAAGAAAGAGGAAGAAAAGTCTTGAAGCACCACTGCAGGCAACATATCAATCGGAAGCTTCGTAAATGATGGCTGCGAAGGGAAGAAGGGAATGCTCGAAGCGCTAGAACCCGCTCAGTATGTGATGTCATATCGTGTTCAAAATTCAATTGTGGTGCACCATACAGATGGTCCATACCGATTCCAGCCTAAACGGCGTGCGTGATGAGAAGGAACCATTTAAATCTAGTCTCACTTTTTTTAAAAGGGGTTACGACGAAATAGGTTTTACCGAAGTTATCGGAGCGAAAACGATAGATAAGGGCGGTAAAGTGCCTTGGAAGAAATCATTAAAACGGTGAAATGCTCAAATTTTCCCATGTTCAACTTTCCTCCACTTAATTCGAGTATACTAGCTGCTGCTTGCCTAGGCTACTCTGACAAATAAATTATTTCCTCTTTCAGTAAGTGTTTCTGAGAGTTCTAGCCAAGTCTTCACTTAACTGTTGGTCGAACAAAAATAAAGTTTTTAAAAAATTCTGCCCGGCGATGGTGTTCTAAGTGCTTTAAGACACTGCCATTGAAATGGTTTTAACATTTAACACAGTATTTTCATGCAAGAGGAGGCGGATAGCACAGTGGCATTGATGTCTATCATCACCAGCATGGTGCTTGCTCGATTACGCTCCAGGCCCAGCAAGCCTCTAATCACTGCCGTGTTGGGAAATTGGTGCCGCGATCGTCCAGATAAAAACCACTCTCTACAATTTAAATGCGAGCGCTCCGGCCTGGCAATTTTGGGACTCTAGGGAATGTCGACTCGACCAGCACTCAACGACATTCGAGATGAAATGAAAATCCTTAAGGAGCACCCAAAGTCACGCGCAAAATTTTGAAAACCTAAGTGGATAGTGGACGCGAAGAATAAAATCGAATACGAGCAGTGTTGGGATAAGCAGAGTGGAGGTGAAGAAAAGATAGTTCATATTTGAATTGAATTGAATTGCTTTTGAATTGAAGCAAACTTTTGAGTACAGATCTTCCTTGCAGTCGCTGGAGTTGCTGACATGATGAAGCCACACTGCATAATTGTCGGGAACACAGTGACAGCTTTGTGTAATGCGCCTAATGGAATGATGTGTCAACTTGCCAACGCCATGATGATTGCAAATATTCCTGCCACGCACTTGTCAATTTCTGGAAGCCTCACGGTTTGTGCTACTTACTTTTCAACACAAAGTCATTTTAAAAAGAAAAAAGTGTGTAGACCACGAACGTCATTATGGCGAATTGGTCGAGAGAGATGTGGCAAGGTGTGGTGAACAGAGCGGTTCGAATGCTGGCATCGGGTCCATTTGGTACGAACTTCGCCTCAGCATTTGCAACCGTCGTCTGAAACAGGAGTTTAACGGTGAAGCGTTCGGAGTAAGCTAAGCCGCCGTTAAGTTCACAATGGTAATAAAGTTGAAAAATGTGCTCGATGGTTAGATTTATGAAAAAAAAGCAAAGTTGAGTTTAAAGCATGATAAATCACTAACGTTATCCTTGTAAGCCGAGTGAAAACTTTTGCACGCATGAGGTGGCCTAGAAAAATTTACAAGTTCTTACATTTAATAACCGCTCCACCCTAGCTCGCGGCAGGTCAGAAAACTCGCCAAAATTGAAATACCGCGCAAAAACACTAAAAGATTTAAAACAAATAGTTTTACTGTGATATCTCATAAAAAGACCCGTTGTAGCACAAAAATTAAGAGATTAAGATTAAGAAGAGATTTAGAGATTAAGAAATTAAGTCATCTAATTTACCTTTAAATACAACCAGAAATCAGTTACGTTTATTGGGCTGTTTAAGAGAGTAATTCTAGGAGTTCGTCCTCCGACGAAAGTAAGAAGTAAAATTCTTCTGAAAGCCATATATCGAAGGTTAAATATTGATTCAGCTTACGATAAGATACTCAAAACCTCGAAATTTCGTGCCGTTCAAGCACATTTGCAGGCAGAATTCACTGAATAATTGTGGTAAACGAGTGGAGAATCCATTGTGGTCTACTGTAATCGTAGACTTTTAGCGAAGCGGTTAGAGAGAAAAGTGCTAGCTGATAATAAATGTGGTTCTCAGAGGAAAAAAGTTGAAAACGCTATACGTTATTAAGCCTAGTCGGTAATGAGTTCCCCTTCACAATGACCTCGACAGGATAAAGATGGAGTCCATTCCGGTCATTGCGGAAAAAGAGCCAGTCTCTTAATCAGCTTTAAATCATTTCATTCTGATTAAAAACTACCGCTTATGAGTATGAGTGGTCTCGTGTGTAATGCTGAGATATTTGCAAAACTCCGGACCGCAGGTGCATGCGGTGGGGAACGAACGAGCGGTATTGTCCTTTCCGGGGAGTAGCGTTCTTCACCACCACATCATCCGTCTCCTTCGTTTTGCCTGTCTCTCAGCTAGTTCTATTGATCTTTTGCCGACATTGGCTCCCCAAATCAATCCCGTTGACGGGTGATTGCTGATGGCAAAAGATCAATAGAGCTAGCTGAGAGACAGGCAAAACGAAGGACCCGGATGATGTGGTGGTGAAGCACGCTACTCCCCGGAAAGGACAATAGCGCTCGTTCGTTTCCCACCGCATGCACCTGCGGCCCGAAGTTTTGCAAATATCTCAGCATTATATACGAGTTATATTTCGCAACATACCCTGCCATGAAAAAGAAAAAGGCAGTAAATAAAAGGGTTAAGATTATGAGAGGTCTTTTCATTTCGACCGTCTATCATCTGTCCTTCCAGTGAAACAAATTCGCTTTGATATATTGATTAGTTCTCTACATAAATTAGCAGACATAGCCCTGGTGTAGAATCTTTCATTCGACTAGTGCTTCGGCGCTTTCGGTTTCTTCAGAGCAGCGATGATTAAAGCCCATGGTGAACAGCAGGTCGTTGTCACGATGTGGTGTCGGCACTTTATTTCAAAGTCTCGCTTACGTCTTTGTGTCTTATGCGTAGCAAATAAAGTGTCTTGTTGAGCATTCTAAAGTGTATTTTGCCAACATATTCATTTTTTCGCGCATTACAAGACGCCGTACGGGTTACAAGATCAGAACGTAGCGGATGTCAAGTAGTAAACTCTCCAACGTCGTCAAGCTGTTGCGTAACTGCCTTTCTTCCCTATTTTTTAGCTTCACAGTCCATTTATTGGTGCGGCTGAGCACGGACTCCAACTTCACAATAAGGTCCGATACTCGACGGCTACTCCTTGATAAATCACAGGAATTCAATCACCTGTAGTTCAGTTGATCGTAGAGTGACTAGAGCGGGCGAAGTTAAACCTTCCATTTTTATCCGTCGCGCGCTAGAGTAGCCCAGCGGGTTCTGCTCGCTGTAAGCACTCCTTAAGCGTCAAATCTTTTTTTAGGATCTTTGCGAAGAATTCCGACCATCGCGACTGTTGCTTTGTGCAGTGTGTTTGCAATCCGGAGGAATCCAGTCACTAATGGATTTGTAGCATCGACTGTTCTTCATATGCATTACGTGCCCAGTCCACCTCATATTTGACCGCTTGGCGCGCAGAGTGGCATCGTTGATTTTTCATCGTTGGTCGAAAATTCGGATACCTTCCCTTACTTATGTGAAACAGGGTACCCTAAGCATCGTTCTTTAGACTGCGCGTTCAGTAGCACTTGGTGATTTTTCATCCTGTTTATGCAGCGACCAGGTTTCTGACGCATACGTTAGTGCAGGAAGTACCGCGTTGAGTCGAAAAGGTGGGCACGGAGTCCCAAGCCGCTCGTTTTCTTCTGCTCAGCTTTGGAGCTAGGTCGTTCATCATACTGATTTCTCGACCCAGATAGATATAAATGGAGCATCCAGAGTTATTCGTTTTTAGGATGACTCCAGAGAAAAGTTTTTAAACGGCCCACAGCAAACATATTCGGCAGAAGTTGCTGATTTCGCGGAGGTCACCTTGCTTGAAAAACATCATATTCTGTCTTGTATTCCAGTGAGTGGGCAGCTTGCATTCCGACAGGTAACGTGTGAAAAGCAGAGCTAGTGTGTTTATGAGGACCGGCGAAAGGTTCTTCAGGTGTTCTGATCTCATCCTTTCCGCACCAGGTACTGTTCGATTTTTCACCGACAAAAGGACTTGTCAGATTTCGGAAGGGAGAATCGGTGGTACAACGCAACCATCATCCTTTAAGGTGGCCAAAAAGATAAAACCGCCGAAACGTCAGCTATTGTATCCTAAAAAATCCTATAATAACAATCCCATGTCTGCTTATTGACGAAAAACATCGAATTATCAATCAATGCCGAGGTTAAAAGAAAGTCGGTCATGGGCATCCTCCTTTATTTCATATGATCGAAAGTCGACGTGGCTACCGAAGAGATTTGAGTGATATTTTTCAATGATTTTCTCCAGTGCCTTTCTGGAAGCTGTAACCGTTCCTTCTGAGCGTCGGAGTTCAATCATTTTGTCTTTTAACTGACGAGGCTTCGTTGGGCTTTGCTAATGCTTCTCCCACCTTTTGCAGTTTCGACCATTACTGCTGCTTTTCTCTCTTTAAAATCTTCTTTTATCGCCTGTCTGCACTGTTTTGCAAGTTCGGACGTTAAGTTGCAACTGCCTGCAGCTCCTGCGATTCCGCGCTGGCGCATCGGCCTGAGTCTTTCTGGAGATAGACGTCTTTTGGTCTCTTTTGCACTGCTACCTTTCATAACGCTAATCTAAAGATGTTGAATGAGCCAGTCGTACTCTTAGTCGATGCTATCGACAACGGCGTCGTCCCAAAGCCAATTAATGAATTGAGTAAGCCCTAGTTTATGGCTGTTCTAAGATTTCGGTTTATAAATCTAGCATCTTTCTCCTTTCCGCGAAAAATAGAATTGTGCACGAAGGAGATGATGGTCCAATCCCGCATAGAATTTTGTGACAACAACGACATCCGTTGGGCAAAACCTTCTATTTACTATGGTGTGGTCTATTTCGTTGTGCTGCACTCAAATGGGAGACTACCACGTCCAGCGTTGACGGTGGGCCTTTGGAATTGCGTGTTACCAAGGATGGTCTTTGTCGTCATGATAAACTCAGAAAGGAGCTCACACTGTTCGTTCCAATGTAGTTCGTGGGTTCCAATATGACGTTCCTCAAACGTGCTTCTTGGTCCAGTGTTGGCGTTAAAACCTCCAATGATTACCTTGAAGAATGTACGATCTTCTCTGTAGAACTTCTCCAAGTCCACTAAGGACGCGTCGACTTCTTCTTCCTCAATGTTTGACGTCGGCGCGTAAATGACGAAGATTGTCAAAGACGATATTGATTCTTATCCTTCTAACGGTACACGTCTGACTACGGCTGTTAGTTGTTCGAATGAATCGATTTTCACGGTCAAACTCATATTAGCGAGAACGCTGACGTCCCTCCGGCTCCTAATCGCCTCCTATATACTTTCTTGTCATTTGGTGGCATGCCGTTGGCCGATTTGACTCGTAGAATACAATCCAACTTGTACGCATCCACACGCATGCCTGAACACGCGTTGTAAGCACGGAAGGTATGTGCCAAATCGGAGCAGCAGAGACAGATAAACAGAAACTTATTTGTAGCCGCGTTGAAAAGTTTTTTTTATTAGCCGTCAGTGCAACTCCTGGCTGTGAATTGCGCAGTGCTATCGCGAAACGGTTAAGCCCCTGCATCTTTCTTGAGCGGTCGGTCATTTCTTCATTCCTGCTTACTTTTTTCATTTCGCTTTTAATATTGTTTGCTAATCAACATGTACAAAAACCGAACAAACGAATCTCTACCAAAAAGACAGTTTCCTGACATCCACATTGTGGTAAAGATAAGAGAACGCCTTTGCAGGCCTAGGTCAGGATTTCAGAAAAAAGCAAATAGCCCAACCAGCGATAGATCAGCCTCAGTAGCCTTCACACTGTACTCACCCATCTATGACTTTACTCTTATAGTGATCTTTCTTGCATGAGGTCAGGCATTGAGACAATCTGTGAGAGCCCACTAAGCTCAGGTTACCCAGTACATTACTGCGAGCAGAAGCGGCGAACATAAGAAAGATATGCTATCTTAACCTTTAAGGTTATTTTTTAAAGCTTGAGATTGTGATTATAACTATAGCCTCAGCTTAACTGGGTTCAATGCTGATTTAATCTCCCTAGATCAATCCTGTTGACGAGTGATTGCTGATAGCAGTGGCCGATACAACTAGCTGAGAGGCAGGCGAAACGAAAGATCGGCATGGGGTGGTGGAGAACGCGTTACTCTCCGGAAAGGGCAATTGTGTGTTCGTTCCCCACTGCATACACCTGCGGTCTGGAGTTTTGCAAATATCTCAGCATTCCATACTATTATCTAAGTTATCATGGCTTTGCTATTAGCATATTTATTGCTGTGTTATTCTTGTGTTAAATCAGGAACCAACCAGACACGAAAAATGCTGTTCAATTTTGTAGCCTAAGTGGAAAGCTCAGACACAGGTGCATATGAACGAAAACATCTCACATAGATCTCACGAAGTGCCTTTGTTGAAGTCACATTGCCTTAGATTTTTACTTAGTACCTATCTTCTCTCGTGGCAAAGTGATGTTTTAAATACAGCTGGAAGTAGGCTGAGACCCAAGCGAAACTTGCAACCTTAGGTGATAGGTTTTTATCAGTGAAAACTTTTCAGGCAAGAGAAAACGAAGGACTCGGTTGGGAAGAAGACTGCACTTCAGTTTTCAGAAAGGGTAATCGCGACTTCAAAGATCACCTAGGGTTCCGAGTTTTGTTGATGTCGTAGAATCCTTACGGTTGCACTCGTTGAGATGAGGTGGTTTGATACTCTGATGAAGTCGCCGAGCACCCAATCACGGCAACCACAACAACAACTGCTACCAACCACGCATCACCTCAAACAGGGAAGGTGGGAACGTTTCCACAAGTTAATTACTAACGCGAAAACACATTAAAAGTCGGTCTTTCGAACTATGCGATAAATTCTAGTCTATGCACCTGATAAGGCAAGCCTACGTAAAAACTCCCGTGTTAACCAAAAGGAAGTGGGTCGATTGGAAAACATCTACCAGGAGTGCTATGGTAAATAAAAGAAATTTTCCACCTTCGCGCTCGCGTCATCTAATCTACCTTTAAATACAACCAGAAATCAGTTACGTTTACTGAACTGTTCGATAGCGTAGTTCTGGGAGTTCGTCCCCGACCAAAGTGAGAAGCAAAGCCCGCCTGGAAGTCATATATCGACTGGTAACTAATGAATCAGCTTGCGGTAAGGTAATCAAAAACTTAAAAATTTTGTATCGTTCAAGCACATTTGCGACACAGAATTCGCTGAATAATCATGGTTGCTGAATGGACAATCTAATATAGTCTACTCTAATCGTACGCTTTTAACAAAACTACTAGAGAGAAAATGCTAGCTGATAATAAATGCCCTTCTTAGAGAAGGAAAGATGAAAACAGTATAGGTTTTTTAAGCCTAGTCGATAATGAGTTTTCCTTCACCAAGACCTAGCGACGTGATAAAGATGGAGCCCATTCTGGACAATGCCGAAAAGAACAAGTCTCTTAAGTCGCTTTTGTTCACCTCGTTCTGATTAAGAATTACCGCTTATCGGAGGTGCGTAGGTTTTTTCAACATTGCATTGTGCGAAAGTGAGCAATGCAGCGCCCATCCAGTGATGTGCTTTGTAATCCTTCCATTCCAAATCGTCGCTCAAAGCTAAGGATAAAAAAGTTATATTTTCATGTTATTAGCCAACTTGCAAAGAGACATATTAACAGTTCCAAACCCAGACAGTTGTGGAATCGCCGCAGGTTAAAACTGACTTCCACGCTTTTTTGGACGGGTCGAGAGATCATAGGCGCAAGGAATATGCAGCCGTTGAAAGGATTATCAGAAATATGGTAGCATCTGTAGTTGCCTGCTTTCTCGGTGGAACGCTGCCGATCTTAAAAGCGAAGGCTCCATCGCCAGTGTAAATTACGCCCAGTTCTGCTGATCTATTAGCTACTAGGTTCAAGAACCATTGCGTTAAACACTTAGGATTTTTCGTTAACTAAAGCAAAAAGTGAAAAAGTTATCAAGTGCGTTAGCTTTACGGCTGTGTAGGCTTTTCAATTTTTAGTGAAATGTTATCGTCAGGAGCACAATATAACGGCATTCTGGGCGGCAGCTCTCTATCGAGAATTTTCACACCGAAGAGAAGTTAGACACAGTATGAGTGTTCTATTCATTTTGACCGCTCGTCCTCTGTCCTTCCAGCGAGATAAAGTCACTCCGGTATTGTGGCCAGTTTTCCACATAAATTACAGACACAAGCCTGGTATATAACTTTCACTCGACTAACGCTTCCGCGCATTCCGTTTTCTTCGGAGCAGCGATGACTCAAGCCGATGGTAAACAGCTGGTCGTTGTGGCGATGTGGTGTTGGCACTTTATTTCAAAGTCTCGATTACGTCTTTGTGTTTTTTGAATACCCAATAAAGTCTCTCGATAGGCCATAAATTTTCTATCTAGATGCCGTTTCGTGCGCACGCAGAGTGGTATATTCAATCTGCCAACGTATTCACTCCCTAGTGCTTTACAAGACGCCGTAGCAGCTACAAGAGCAGGTCGTAGCAGAAATCAAGTAGTAAACTCTCTAATAATGTCAAGCAGTTGTGTACGTGCCTTCTTTTCCGTTCCTTGTAGCTTCACAGTCCATTTATAGAGGCGGGTGAATAGTACTCCTACTTTGCAAGAAGGTTCGATACACGACAGCTACTGCTTGGTGAATCACAGGTATTCAATCACCTGTATTCCAGTTGATCGTCGAGTGACCAGAGCGGGCGGAGGTAAATCTTGCACTTTTCTCCGTCGCGTGCAAGAGTAGCCTAGTGGGTTCCGTGCCCTTTGTTCTCCTCGCTGCATCCTTGATGCTCTTGAAGGTTGGTCAAGCCGCTCGTTTCCTTTGTGCTCACCTCTGGAGGTAAGTCGTACGCCAGGTTCATTTCTTGACCTAGACAGGCGCAACCGTAGCGTTCTGAGATAATCGATTCGTTGATCATAAATAAGGCATGAGTAGCCAATCCGTTCTTCATGAACATTGTTTTTGTAAGATTTATTCGAAGGCCAATCTTTCCACAGGATTTATCAAAGTCGGCAAGCATATGTAGTCAACTAATGTAGCCATCTTAGTTTCGTAATTGGCGAAGCTTCGGAGGGCTTTGCGAATGCTTTTACCAGCCTCTGCAGCTTTTACCTGCTCTTCTATTCTTAAATTCTTTTATAGTCCGCCTGCATTGTTTTCCATGTTCGGACGTTACCTCTCGGTTGCCTGCAGCTCGTGTGATTCCACGCTGGCGTATCAGCTCGAGTGCTTCTGGAGACAGACATCTCTCGATGACGTTCGATTTCTCAGCTTTCATAACTCAACCGTGAAAGTGTTGAGTGAGCCGATCGCATTCCTCGTCGATGAAATCGGCAGCAACATATTCTCAATAACCGACTAATGAATTGAATAAGTCCCAGTTTACGGTTTTTCTGGGACTTCGGTTTTGGAATTTAGCGGCTTTTTCTACTTTCCGCGGGAAATAGAGTCTTGAACGAAGGACACGGTGGTCTGATCCCGTGTAGAATTTTGGGACAGCAGCGATATCGGCAAGGCCTCCTATTTACTATTATGTGGTCTATTTCCTTAAGGTGCTCTCCATTGGGAGACTTCCACATCCACTGTTGAGGGTGAGGCTTTTGGAATAGCGAGTTACCATGGATTGTCTTGGTCGTCATAATAAACCCAGACATTCCGCTCTGAAGAAGACGAAGACGTCGAAACGTTGGCCATATAGGCTGTTTTCTCATTAACCTCGGATAATTAGAAATTTTGGTTAGTTATGAATGTTTAAACCTCTAGTTTCAAAGCAGCTTTCCCATTCCAGTTGCTGTTTTCCACCAGTACGTTAATGGACTAAGGTCGTACCACAATATTCTCCAGTTCTTGTTTATAATTAAAGAAAGATTTATTATTTGGCAATTGTGCAAGTGATAAGTGTTTAAGATGGCAAATCTCTCAGCGTTATTGAACACGTAGCCGAAAGGATGACGCCAGAAATATCTCGTGTCACGCAAGTAAGGGAGAGAATCCGAAGGTCCGACCTGCTTCAACGATGAAAAATCAAAGATGCCGTTCTATATGCAAAAATTTTGAGGATAAGCTGGGCTGTACATTATGCTTATGAACGACAACCGTTCGAAAAGAGCCGCTAATGATTGGTTTCCTCAAGATGCCAAACGTACTGCAGGAAGACCATCGACCAGATGATCGCAATTCTTAGCGAGATGCCTAAAAGAAAGATGTGATGCTCAACGAGTTCCTAGTGCGAACAGAACCCACTGGGCTACTCTTGCACGCGGCAAAAAAAATTGATGTTGGCTCCAGAAATGTTGGCTCATTTACATACTTGGCATTTATTGACGTCTGCTCGAGGCACTCGAAGATCAACTGGAATACAGCTGATACAGACAATGGTTGTCTAATGAGTGATTTATTGTCATGCACTATAAGTAAACGCAATAACAAAACGGTGATATTAAAACTGACGTGGCAATAACATTTTTTCGAAATCTATCGATGTAAAGCTTTAGTTTATAAATCTGAATCACAGTGAGGGATCCTTCTTTAAAGATTCTGAAACCAGACGGATTGAACTATGATAAATTTAAAAAATACTTCCACACTTTTACTGACACCTCGGAAAAACTCGGGCTCCAGAAATGTTGGCTCATTTACATACTTGGCACTTGGTTACTTGGGTGGTTCGCCTTGACGAGTTGTGCGGACCCCAGCCCATTTGCCATTCGATTCCTTTCCTCAAATTCGTCATCCACAGTAGTGGTTTTATTCAAATATGGTGGCGCGTGTGAATCTCATACTGTGACCAGTAGAATAACTGCGGTTCTGGGTACAGCTAATCAACTTTGTTTACGATCACGTCTGCGCAGAGTGTAGGTGACCGTCCTAGAGGACGATAGCACTCCCGTGGAGCTCTTTCTTCAGTTTTCTTCGCCTACCAGTCGTCTGCTTTTCTCATTATATGACCGGGCCTTCTGTGCTTTGCTTACAATTTATATTCCTCTGGGTCTCGTAAACGCGACAGATTTTGAAGGTCAGACCTTGGCATCCCGGCTGGATATTGAGAGTGCTGGTTATATTTTAGAATATATCGCTGAAGCGCTTTGTGAGCAGTGCTGAGTATTCTTGACGTGGTTCAAGTAACAACCCACGTTTCTGCGGTATAACAGAGACTGTTGAATGAAAAAGGTGAGAGCGGATTTTCGGGTCTTTCATTTGGTCGGTGGATCCTTTACAGGCCCGAATACGGTCGAAGCCGCTCTTCTTCTTCTATCTAGTTCCTCCTTTATGTTATTTTCCATGTTCATTGATCACCCAAGGTAAACCTACGAGGTGGTCTCTACAATGAGAGAGCCATGCAATTCAATTTTTTTGTCTTCACACCGTAGGTTTTTCATGAACTAGTTCTTTTTTCGATTTATGCGAAGTCCGTTCTTCTTCTCCGCTTCGTTGAGTTCATTGATCATCACCTCTGCTTCGCCAGGATTTATTGAGAAGATGACAATACAGTCGGCAAAACGAGGGTTTGATATGCAATTTGCATTAATGCGTATGCATTTCTCATCCCAATCGAGTGACTTCATCATCCACTGCAGCGCGGCGCTGAAGAGCTTTGGCGATATTGTGTCTCCCTGTC